TTATGACTCAATTAAGGCGATAATGCCACTAAGACGTAAGGCGTTACTGAGAATGTTAGTGAAGAAAAAGGATAAGAGAAAAAATGGATTAAGGAAAAACAGTAAGATAGGGTTGAAACTGCTTTTAAATTTTTTTTTTTTTAAATCGCACGTGACAAGGAAAAATGGTATGGAGTTCCACTGGCGAGAAGTGTGAGAAAAGAAATTATTATAATAGAACTTATGTTTACATCTAGCTATTTCAACAGTAAAATAATTAAGCCTAGTTTCCTACTCTTAAATTCATTTGGTCGCGGTGTTAATCAAAACAATTGCCATGAAAATATTTATGAACAGACAGAGTGAAGTCACTTCGCGGTCGTAAGAGATGAATTGAAGTCGAGATGCTAAGTAAGGATTATAGATTTTCGATTTTGTCATGAATCTTGAGATATATAACAGGAGCACCAGATCAAAGGTTGCACCAATATTCAATGCCCAGATGAATGGTAAATTCATAAAAGTGCAAGATGTACTCTCGCGAGCAAATTCGCTGACACGACAAAGTGAACCACTTTTCCTTGCAATTGATTCGTTATAATCATTCTACTTCATGTCAATGGAAAAACTTAGACCAAGAAAGTAAAACGGAAGAAACATGTGTTTTCAAACAAGAGCCTTTATTCCACAACCCAAGCGATTCAAAATCATTTTTGTACTGGAATTATAATTTAGTTAACGTGATATTGGCAGATTTAAAATGGGTTAGAATTTCCCCAAATCGAATTTGTCAGATCTTCTTTCTAGTTTAACTCAGACGGCATTGTAAACATTAATAAATCCAAACCAACCCAGATATATTCAAAGGAACTTATCTTCAAATTGACTTGACAACGAAAGGTTGTTTTACGTTTTCTCAATATAAACAAAATTTAGAATTAAATTTTCCCAGTTTAGAATAACTCGAAGTTAAATTCCCTTTGTGAGATTTCTGACAACGTTAATCTCTTTATCCCATAGATAATCTATTAAGATTATTCTTAAGTTATAAGATAAATGTATTTTTAATCCAGAATACCAGACATCACTCTGGGGGATGAAAAGGTCTAAGTGGTTTTTTATAGATCTTCTTTTTTTTTCTCTATAGAATTGAAGTAGATTTTGTATCGTTCGAAATGTGAGCTAATCCGATAGTGCAAGTTCAGCTAAGCACGGCGGTTGTAGTTAGACATCTTTCGTAAGCAGTACCAATTTCTACTTGAAACCTACGAAAGAAAGATAAGCGTGGTCTGGCATTGTCTTAAGAGAAGGCAACATCATTCCGATTGGCCAGTGCCTTTAATCAGTCCATATTAGATCTTTACCTGTCTTAATTCAACGTTTGATTTTTCGGAAGTAGCTTATAAATCCACTATTCCCTTCCAATCCTATCAGAGATACTTCGTCGCCATTGGATTCAGACCGATTTTACGTTTTATTTCACAAACTTTTTTCACTCTACGTTTTTGTCAACAATACATTTTTCATCTCTTGTGGTCATTCTTTTCAATAACGTTTTTGTTTTGAATCACTAATGGAAATACGTCCATTAAATTTATCGTTAAACCGTGCGACACCGAAATACAGTATCGATTGACGTATTTAAGTGTGTTTCCCGTAAATGCCTTATAACGACATGTGGAATATATCCGCGATGTCACGTGTCATGTGACATGTATTATTTGTTTTTTATCAGTCTTTGATTTGGTTATCATCAATGATTACAGTAGGAATGTACTCGGACTTTCAGAACAAAATGTCCATTTCAGAACCTAACAAACCACTAACAAACTGTACTCTTAGCTATAGCACCATCGGCAAAAGCAGCACATATGCATTTGCTGTTTGTACAGTGTTCTTTTCCTTCCCGGAATTAAACGAACTTCAAATGATGAAAATGCAACTATATTAGTTTCACTTTCATTTTAACAATCAGAACTTACGATCAACATAGGAACTGTACAGAAAAAAACGTGTTGAAATATCACTTCTCTGAACATGGAACATGAATATATTTAAAGAAAAAACGCCACCTTTTCGATTCCAACACATTACATTAAAAACTGAATAATAATGCTGTGGATTCATATATGCTGGAAACGTTTACTTCAAACTTATATAAATACAATCAAACTTCATTCATTTGATAATCTTTAGGTCATACTAAGAAATAAAATTTAAACGATGTAATCTGCTTTTCTTATCATCAAGGATACCGGTTATGTTAAATCTTGATAATTAAAACCTTCATATGACATATGTCTTTCATCTGATTCTTTCAGAGAAACAGCCCAAGACGCAAACAACGAATTGCAGGTGCCAAAATCAAGAACGGAAATGCAAATGTCCGATGACGGAAAATGAGACAACGAAATCTGAAGGCAAACTAGAAAAGCGAAAGTAGTTATCCAAAAGATAAGCAAAATATTAAGAAACAAGAATTTCGTTAGAAACAAAGAAAAGAATATTAAACTGTTATATAATATAAGCTTTCTACTGTGGCAGTGTATATGTTGGATAATCTCCTCACAGATGAAGAAACTTGAGGAAACTGAAATGTGGCTCTGAAGAAGGATGCTGAGCATTTCGTGTATTGAAATTGAGAGTAACGAGGCCGTTTTAAGGAAAACGGGAACACAAAGGACGCTCATATTTAAAATCGGAAAGAAACACTTAAAAAGACACATAACGAGGAAAGTACACTTGGTGAATATGACACTCACAAGATATATTGAAAACAGGGGGATAGAGGAAATCAGCGAGTAGCCAACTTAAAGAACTTGTGTAATTGGATGAGAGAACAAGGAACAATAACGAAAAAGAAAACAAACCTAAGAACTACAAAGAATAAGAAGTTGTGGAGAGCCATTATCGCTCATGTCCTGAGGGGATATATCACAAATAAAAAGGAGATTCCGATTTCACGTTAATGGCCGAATATAAAGCTGCATCAATATTGTGATAAAAATCGAAATCGTATATTGAATCCATTATGAAGTCAACTGCTAAGCTAAATGAATATACTTTTTTTAAAATTTTGAACTATTGCTTTCCTCTTGATTGATATAGATATTGTTATAGGCTGAAAATGCAGCCAATACCCTCTGGCTATCATCAGGTGTCCATTGCTTTTGACTGATACAGGATATCTGTTGGTTGTGTTATTTTGTTACTGTGATTAAAGTTATAATTTATTCCTATCAAATGAGTTTCACTAACAGATCCAAAGATTGATCTGACAGCCACTAAATAACAAACAAAACAAACTCACCGTATCGTGTTAGACAATTTTTCTCTCCATAATCTCTATCCCACACATCTGTAATTCTACTATCTATCCGGGCTTAGAATATTGCTGCCACATATGTTCCGGTGCTTCTCTTTTATATTTAGAGATTCTTGATAAAAAATCCAAAGACAAATTAGCTACATTTCTGGTCCTGACCTGGCGAATCTCATTCAGTCATTTCCAACTGCCGTAAAGTTGCCTCCCTCTGATGTTTTTATACAAACTGTTCGGAGAAGCTTTTCGATATGACAACTAGACTTTTTTTTTTTTTAAATTAACCTCGGTACTAGACTGGCGTCAAGATCCTATCAATTTACACTTCATTAAGCTCGATGTAATAGTACGTTCTAAGCTAAAAGTGTATTTTCTCGCACTTTTTGATTGCGGAACTCTTTTCTTGTTCCTTGCGTACTAGTCAACTTTAATCTGCAAATATTCATCTGCAATGTCAATCTCTATCTTCCTGTTACACGTTTATTGTTCCAGCTGCTTAGTAATATTTCTGTTTTCTTCCAGGCCTTGTGGCACCTTTTCCCTTAGTGTCTTAATTGCCTTCCTTTGGGGTGAACTCGATTAAACAAAGAAGCAAAAGAAGATTTAATCAAATTATGTTAAGTAAATGTTGAATTTTAAAACTACTTACAACTATTTCATTATATATTAAATCTTTTGTTAGTTTCATTATTTTCACCGTCCTGGGTAAGACGAAAAATTACATCCGCGTCCTGAGCAAGACGATAAGCTACGTTCAACGGCAAGGCCTCAGATCAGGAGGTTTTGCGGAGTGTGTAACCATCTCTTAATTTCTAGTGTTTCCAGGTCCACCCTGACAAGAGGTGGTAGCATCTGTTAGGGTCCCAGCTATGGGTAAATAGTTAATCCCCAAACTGAAGTCAAAACACAATGAAAGTTTTAAAATAGATTTTAATACCAGCAATAAATTTTTTAAAAAAATATTACCAGCAATACATTATTGCCAGCAATACATTTTTGAAGAAAAAATATTACCACTAATACATTTTTAGAAAACAATATTACTAGCAATAAAAAAAAAACTTGTCGGCATTAAATAAATCATTGAGGTTGATATTCTGTAAAACAAAACAAAACAAAACAAAACAATCTAAACCAATCCATTATTTTTAAATTTTAAATTGTTAAAATGTTAAGATAATCCAAGACTTTACGATCACTTCGTATTGATAGAAATTCTAAGATTAAATAAAAGAGAAAAAAATGACGTACAAAGTTAGTATTGCTAGCAATAGATGCTTTTGTATTTACGCTGTTGTGGTCTTTGCTGACAATTTGTGTCTCTTTGTTTCATAGCGGGCCTCACTATGGTGGAATATCTTAGCTTCGAGAATATTTTAAATGAAGATCAATCCTAAATAAAATTGCCAAAGGCAAATCTGAAATTTCTTTCAAACGTTTTCGTTTTTCTGATAATATTTCTTTCATGTGACTTTCTTTCTCTACTTTTATTTAACTGGGTCGACATGAGCGGAAATTATATTCAGAAAGGAAAGAAAAAAATCTCTTTGAAAAATCAGCGAGATATAATGAAAAGGGACAATTTATTATTTTCTGTAAAACATTGACTTACGGTTAGGATATAATAGTTTCTTTTTCTCTTCTTGTCTTGTAACGGCATTCACCCGGGGTGGGTTGGGCCGGCTTCAATTGAATTAACCGCATCGCGCGTGAAGGCCATCCACCCCCGTCGATTGGCAGCAGAATCGACGGCATGATCGCCTGCCATTCGCGATTCCAGCGTCGGACCCCGAAAACGCAAGGACCAGGCATGAGTTCCATATCTTCTTTGACCGTTGCGAGCCACGTATATAATAGTTTGAATAAAAATAATTGCTGATATAGTGGGAAACTGAATAACAAAATGGAAATATCATAAGTTACGTGTTTCTTCGCTCGAAAATTCTTCAGACTAAATCATTAATTGAATGATTGATTTGTTTCCCACGGCTTATAAACCTTTTGCAGGTTATTTAAGGCCAGAAAATATTTTTAGATTGTAAGATTTTATTTTTAGATAATAATAATTCAGTGATACAAATATTACTAATTAACCCATATCATAGGAGAAAAGTAGTGATTTATACAGATTCCCAGGGTTATTTAAGTGAATATAATAAATCTAAATGGAATTGGAACTCGGCTCTCCGATTAACAATTCTAAACAATATTCCATTACACCACTCGTACATCCAAGCCTCCAGCGCAGGTTATTCCCAAGCGGTCACCAATCTACGTACTAACCAGGCTGGACGCTGCTTATTATCGATGATCGAAGAAACACTAGGTAAAAAAAAATCAATAATTAACAATGCTTCAATAATTCCAAATATTCCAGTGAATGTAACTCATGATGTGGCCGTAAACCTGTTTTCATTGATGAAATCATATACAGAACCTCATCAAAACGCATATACACTTCAGGAGAGGTAAAACTTTTATTTCATTGTTTTTAGACTTTTACCTAGGGGTGAACCTAAAGGATTTGTCGCTATTTCTGAGATGAGGTATTATGTACATTATTTACATTATTCGGACTATTGTCCTCACCTCTGTCGACATATTTATTACAACGTTTCGGCCGTTGTAAGCTCCGGCCTTCTTCAGGTGGTTGGAATGTCGAACTGAACCCTTTATTTCGCTCACTGGGGTAGACTATTCTAGATCTACGTGCCATGTCTAATGGATGTCAATTATCAGTTATCTCCTGTTAATTCCCCTCTCCAAGTTCTCCGCTGCCTTAGCCGGGTATTGAACTCACACTGTTTGGGTCCTGTCCCTGGATCTAACTAACGCCTTTATCCACTGTGTCATGTGTCCTTAAATATAAATAAATTGTTATATGTGCTCTTCAAAAAGAAGTCCTTCTTTTTCCAAACACATATCAATTCTGTGCCTGCATGATTCATTGAAATGACACTTATACTCAGAATTAGAAAGAGACAGCTGAAATATCTTAGTGACATAATGAGGATGGAGGGCTTGGAAAAGTTGACACTCATAAGACATATCGGAGGCAAAATGGACAGAGAGCAGCGTATCAATGCACAATATATTAATTGACTTTATACGATGGTGCATTAATATGTTTGCAACTCGACAAGTGTTTATAAGATGAATTCTTATCTGAAATTTTCACTGTATAATATTTCACACATGGGATTATCATTCACCATTTAATTAAGTGAGCCGACAAAAAAGACATTAGGAAATTAATATGTGTTGTGTAAAATAATTTTGAATCACAATCTTGGTGTTCCGGCGTTTATATGAGGAGATAGATAGATAGATAGATAGATAGATAGATAGATAGATAGTGTTAAGGGGTCCACCCTTTTTTATACAAGTGGACTCGCTCAGTGTGTACTTGTACTGCTGCCGGTGAATACCCGGTGACAGTGACAGTCAGAGAGTGACAGTGATACAGTGAAAGAGTAAAGTAACCGCTTTGTAGGAGTCACAGTTGCGAGCACGTAGACTCAGAAGGAAGTCCTACTTCGATACTGAATTTCCCAGACTGTATATATATTATTATTGCTACTAACCGCATTTCTGGATCTACTAACCGTATTACCAACTGTATTACTACGTCAATACATTTATTTGCTATATTTCATTCCTGCGTTTGTCATTCATTTGAGACCGGATTTCATCTCGGAATCCACAACAGATAGATAGATAGATAGATAGATAGATAGATAGATAGATAGATAGATAGATAGATAGAGTTTGAATACCCATATAGTAAACGAAGTCAGAATTCTATCTTTCTTTCTCGTTTCTATCTCACATTTACCCACATATAGATGTACACACACACACACACTTGAGTGTGCCCAGGAAAACTGAGGAAACTTTCTCGCTTGATAACAACTTTTTTCTCCCGCCAGGACTTTTCATTTATTTTCTTTAAATAAGTTGTTCCAGGTTGTCGCAGGAATAGAACGAAACTATTTCCGATTTTTTCCATACTTTTGTCTTTTTATTCTAGTCGATGTAAAGAAATTTTGCAAGCATGACGCATAAAGTTTCTGAATATAGTCGTTTTCTTTTTTACCGGACGTATTTCTATCGCCCACTATCATTTACTGACTAAAGATTTTCGACAAATATAACGAATCTTTGCTAGAAAACATTTCCATGAAAAAGAATCACCGGAGAATCTTCAAACTTTGAAGAAACCCCTGAATTTAGGCATGTCACCAACATGACTCTCCAAACAAAAATTCTACAGTATAAAAATATTTCGAGAGAAGCAAGAAATATGTCATCATTTATTTATTTAAGGAATTTATTTTTTATGTTGAAATAGAAAGAGCAAACAAACCAAACTATTGGGGAAAAGCTTTCAAATACAACCCTATGAACATTCAAATTGCCAAATGAAAAAAACTTGGAACGACAAAAGAAATAAAAACAAGAACCATCGATGAAAAAAACGACAAAAGCCAGGAAAGAGAACATAAAAAGAAAAAAGTAAAAATGACAGACCCCTACCTCAGCAATAACCTAAAGTACTCAATATCTCTAGAAAATAGATCGAGACAGAGCAGTAACACCAACCAACGAGAAAGTATAAGCAGGCTAAGTAAATCTCCTAATCTGCGTATCACACAGACAAGAGCGATTCTTTTCATCTGATGGTCGCTTTGTGTGAAAACCCGAGAAACAAGGAAACGGCATCAGTAAGTCATTGGCTCGTATTACGAATACTAATGATAATGATGGGACAGCGTTTCCATAGAGGAAATCTCGGCATTCATGTGACGTAATGACGCAACCAACACGGCCTAATACGTAAAAATGTCCGTTATTGTTATTTTACAAATGAGCAGATTTGTATGTGGCCCAAAGCCGAAGGGGTTCGATGGAAAGGGTTGGTAAACACTGTCTATCCTACTTTAACTAATCTTAATCACAACCCATTCACTCTAACGAATGAGAAAATCACCACAAGAATTTGTCACTATCCATTCAATCCAAACATGTACCAAAATGGCGCATTTTCGCAGGAGATCTAATAATAGTCCTGTTATTAGAAACACTTCTGAATATGTGAATCAATAGCTTCTTCTCCCGCAAGGAAATTTGGTTCTCTGTGTCACGCCAGAAGCTTTTTCTCGCCGGAGTTCATCCTTCAAATCTACAAAACTACCATTCGTCCTTGCATTGAATTCTGTTGCTATATATGGTCTGATTACCTATTGTTCATCTCGAGGATTTTCAACAAAATACAGAGACGCATATGCAATGTGGCATCTCGTCTGCAGTCACTTCCCTCTGTCTTTTCTACATATATTTTCATGGTTAACTTCTCTGACGTGCTACTTTCACTGGTGCCCCATCTCCATGAATTTAAGCGTGCTACTAGGTTGGCATATCGGTCCCACCCTTTCACTGTCGAAACAGTTAAATGTAACCCCGTCTCTACTTCAGCAGCTTCTTCGCTCGCACTTCCCGACAGTGGAACTTTCTTCCTTCTACTTACTTTCCTAATAGTTATAATATTCAAATGCAATGTCAATCGATATTTTCTGATGCCTAGATCCTGATCCCCGTCCTTCTCTATATGCTTTCCACAAACATCCATCTTTACTCTTGCTCTCACTCTCTATAACCCCTTGCGTGCAAGTGGCACTCCTGTCTTCCTTGGAGTGAAATGCTTAAAAAGATGTACATATAGAGAGACGGTGATGCAAAAGTCGTGTACCATAAAGCTTAATGGATGTCGAAGAGGTCCCGTTGAGTGGTCACCGAAGTTACCAAACTTCACACCTTTAGATTTCTCTGTCGGCCATTTAAAATCAGTTGTCTATGAGATGCACTCAAGAAATATAGAGGAAATTAAAGAATTTTATATGAGTGAGAGAGGAAGCTCTCGGACATGTTAAGGAACCATGGCGGTACAGAACTAAGATGTCTTTTCAAAAAGAAGGAGGACATTTTGAACAGCACATATAACAATTAAAAAAAACTATATTTACATGTGTAATTATACTTTTGATAAATTACCCCTATGGTGCGAGACTTTGCCCCCCCCCAATTCACACTTCATATAGATATATATATATATCTTTTGTTACAAAATTATATAAAAATTTATAATGACATGAAAGGTGATAAAAAACTGGTCAAAAAACTTAGTAAAAGCACATATGACGTCATCATTGCGATAATGGCTCCCACTAAGTGTTGAGGGGCAGATGATAGTCAGATATGGCCAAATCAAGAGAAGAGAAAGTGTAATCAAGCATTTTCAAAATCACTTTTCAATCGACATCATCTGATGCACTGAACTTGATCCCCGTCCTTCTCTTTATCCTTTCCTCAAACACCCCCTCTTTACTCTCATTTTCTTTAACCCCTTGCGTGCTAGTAGCCCGCCCGCCTTGCTTGGGCTGAAATGCTTAAAAAGATATACAAATATATACAGATAGGGTGATGTAAAAGTCGCGCACTATAGACGTTTGCCTCCCTCTATATATATATATATATATATATATATATATATATGAAGAAAAATATACTGAAAAAACAAACAAAAATCCTAATATGCGATTATGCTGTTTTAATGTTTAATCTCAACGTCGGACGTTTCGGTCTAATAGACCATCCTCAGGACATATTCATAAAACATAATTAACATAGACCATATACAATTCAACATGAAAAAGACGATGGACATAAAAGCAATACCAATCCAAAGAGATTTCAGTTATCTGTTTGGATTGGTATTGCTAAAAATGGCTTCCAGCGAATGGATTTGCGATACAAAATCAAAACCAAAAACATAATTGTATCAAATAACACAAGCCACACCAATTCTTTCAACAACAACTAAAATGAATATCATATTTAACTAGAAGATATAATAATGAACTAATCAAGATATTAGAATTCCACACTATTCCAAACAAAAAGTTAGGAAGGAAGCACTCATCTAGTAATTGAAAGAGCGATGACATATAGTGGACGTGCGAAACGTATTTCTTGACAACAGGTTTTCAAGTGACGGAGGCACTGGGCGTTCTATCAGTAAATGCTGAATGTTTCCACATAGAGAAAATGGTGAATATTACCATTAACTTTACCGTTTATAAACACGCATTGATCTATAACGTTAATAAAAATCCTCTCAAAGTTCTTGTCTCTGATGTATTGAGTTCGAACCTCACGAAATACAGAATCATCTGGACATTTGCCAGAACAATCATGGTTTAATAAATAACTGCCTAGATTGTATGTTGCTACTTCGCAAGAACGAATTTCTTTCGAGTCATTTTACATATATATATATATATATATATGTGTGTGTGTGTGTGTGTGTGTGTGTGTGTGTGTGTGTGTGTGTGTGTGTGTGTGTGCGTCAAAATAGTTCTGGTTGTCGGTCAGTTGTAATAAATCATTGAAAAGCATCAAATAACGTCTTCCGATGAAGAAAAACAAAACATGAATTATCGTGTTCTGAAATGGCTTGGTGCATTGTAATTCGTGGCGAATCAGAAACCATTAAGTCCGGTTCGACAGAAGTCAAACAATTGAAACAAAACACAAAGAGATGTGATTAATGTTAAATAAAGCTTTGTGATTGTATTTATTTCGTCTTTTTTATCATTTCTTTTTCTTCGGTGCCTGACTGTGTGTTCCAAAGGTTCATGTAAGGTTGCGTCAGAAGTATTGAGCGCTACTGAAAAGTTACCTTTCTGGAATGGTTCTTCCGGTGATTTAATTGAAGCTTCTTTCTTTCTTTCTTTCTTTCTTTCTTTCTTTCGCTCTCTCTCACTCCCCCTCTATTTTCATCTCCCCCCCACACACACACAAAGACATTTGTGGTACTACCACACAAAAAAGAGAAAGTTTAACATCGAGAATGTTTAACATCGAAAACCATAGGGAAAATTAATTCATTTTAATAATATGTGGAAATATCCAGTCTTTGCCTGAAGAAGAACGCGAAACCCGAAACACGTGTTGCAAAATTATGGATAATAAAGAATAATATATATATTTTAAAAAATCCACATTACAACCAAAAACGTTTTCAGTTTGTCTCTTCATTTTAATACACACTCACACACACACACACACCATTACACACAAACACTGTGAAATACTGTTAAATAATAGTTCAATTCACTATTATTTTTGGAGAAAGTGTAAAGCTGATTCGACGTTCTGGGGTCGGCTTTTGAGGTCAGATGGAAAGCAAAAGAAGAAGGTCGATTTTGATTGGCTGAGTCAGCGTGAGAACGATAGATAAGGGGATTTTAATGAGTCGAGGCTAAACTGAAGCAATGTAGACTAGTGAAAGGAGAGCAAACCCACTGGATAGGTAGAAATGTATCCGTCAACTATAATAAAATAGCTAAGTTAAAATTCCCAGTAATGGAGTACTTTTATCTTGAATCAAAACAAGTAGCGATCACCGACCAAGACAGAAGAATGCAACTTTAGGATCGAATCGACAACGTCGTCCCAGACCATTGCCATCAAGGGGCTATACAAAATAAGAAGCACTTAGATGTGTATGTTTGCATTTGTGCGTGAATTTACCCCATATGTGTTTAAATACTGTAAATATTACACACACACACACACACACACACACACACACACACACACACACATACATATATATATATATATATATATATATATATATATATATATATATATATTCCTTTTGCACATTCATTGTGCTGATCATATAAATATATCGGTACTATGGGTAATTTTATATATATATATATATATATATATATATATATATATATATATAGA